AATTTGGGGGGGGGGGGGGGAGGTAGGGCTCTTGTCTTTCCGTCTTGAAAAGAGGATCCTACCCTCAAGGAGGCGACGCGCTGGCGTGGCGCCGGCAAGGCCGGACCGTGTCGCCGTATTGCGCCCAGCCAAAGGCTCTCTTCGGTTAGCTTGAGGAGGGCCAAGTGCGTCAGGCCCGCAACAGAGTCAATTGCCTGTTGCAATGAATCCATCGTGAGGGCCACTCCTGTGCCAGTACAGACCCCGTTTTCAAATGCAATAGAGCCCAGAGAAAGAGGGTCGATACCTGGGGCTGAGGCACATGACGGTAAAGGTGACCGAGAAGTTGACCCCCTGTGTCTCGGCCAAGGCCAGGCGGGGGCGAAGCGAGCACCGTGAGGAATGAGCGGGGTTGGCATTGGGTTTAAGAACCACGTGTCGTCAATGGGTCTGTGACAGGGTGTTGGCCGGGATGCCGAGGCATGTCGCACCAAGCAAGAGCTCCAGGGTATGGCGGCGTTGGCCGACCATTACATCTTGGCGCGGACCGTTGAGGAGCTGGATAAAATCCCGCTCAAGAACCTGTACAACACCCGCCGTGTAGCTGCGGACAAGATCGCGCGGCAAAGCTTCCGGGGTGTGGTGGGAGCCCAGCTCATCCTGCCGCGTATTGATCAATGCACTTGGTCAGATGGCAACTTTTCATGGCAGAAAAACACATTCACATGTATCTGGACAAGTGGCCTGCTTCGGAGAGCTCCGGAAAGCAGTGGCTTGATGCGCTGAAACAACACATCAAGCACGCTCAAGCAGGAGGCAAGAGGGAAAAAAAAGGCAAAGCACAACGAGGCGAGACGAGGCAGGGCCAGACACCGGGCGACACGCGTCCCAGCGCCCCTCAGCGCCCCAGCGCCCCAGCGTCCCAGCGTCGTTTGGACCTACCGGGTCGTGGGTATGACGAAAGAGTGTGAGGAGCGACTCGCGCAACGGTTGGGACGTCTCCAAGACCGTCAGCACCACGTTCAAGGCGCGATCGCAAAGGCAGTCTCGGATGTCATCACTCAGAAAATGGCGCATGGCTTCCACGCTCTCCGATGCACTAGCGGGGATCATCCGGTTTTGGCTGAAAGGCCTCGGTGAGTGTACCAAACAAGAAACCAAGTCAGGGATGTGTGTGTGTGTGTGTGTGTGTGTGTGTGTGTGTGTGTGTGTGTGTGTGTGTGCCGCGCACCATCAGAGGTGTGAGGCTTTGAGGCTTTGAGAGTCGGCTACTAGCCGTCCACGGGACTGACTCACCCATGATGGAGTTCAAGATGCAGCGCCCATAGTTCCTCGTTGGTGCCGTGGCGAAACATGATTCAGCCCTCAACTCGCCACCCCCCACCCGTCGCGACGGGCGGCGCGACCGCTCTGCAGATCTGTGTCCGCTCAACCTTGCCACCCGATGATACCACTCCAACCCAAAACCAGACTCCTTTGACTACCACCACAACGACCACACCCCACCGCACACGCTACTCCAGCCCA